AATATGCTTAGAGAAAGAAATGACAGTTACAATATCTGATAACAGGGACCTTTTGTATAGTTTCATCTTTGAAGTACCTCAGAGAGCATGTAATTCATTGCACACTGTTTTCAATTAATGCCCTTTCGGATATTGAGATTTATAGCCAGTCACGTGCCAGAGGAGTTTTAGCTCTAATCAGAGTATCAGTGCAAGATGCCAAAGTGCTTGGGATATTATGACAATGTAATTACTTAGCAAACGCTGCTCATAAGCCTAATGCAAAACACACAAAATAGGAACACTTTGTCCTGCAAAGGAGATCCACCTCAAGCATCTTTTCCGTTCTCACATAAAAAGCCCCCAAACAGGATTCAATGTTATTCAACCTCACTACTGGTAATAAGCTATTGCCCAAATCTTAATTATTATGAGACATAATCAACTAAGTATCTTTTAAAGCTTTCAAAGAAAGTTTGCTTTCATTACATAGGAAAAATCTCAAGAAAACCACCCACTGATTATTTTAGGGGGGGGACTTCTAATTATGTAAGTTATTATAAAACTCAAGTTAGCTTTAGCTATACTCTAAAATGTGGTTGGTTGGTTTGTTTGTTTTTTAAATTTGTATTCATTCTTCTATTCCCAAAGGAAAGCGTAGGCTTAACAACAACATACTTTAGGGGAGTAAACATCTAAAAACTACACTGAAGTGGGGTCAAACACTATTCAGAATGCACTTAACTAAAGGGGGGTTAATGCAGAAGATGGTACGGTGTGAACGACAGCGTAAGTGTGTTACCAACAGGTATCAATACATACCCAAGAAAGTTTTTGAATAAGCTTTCAAGGAAAAAATTTAATTTTTTTTTTTTAATCATATGGAGCTCCCACAGGATGACATAAGGACTCTATTATCACGGCTTCAGAAGCCTTCTGAAAACTTTGAGGAAGAAAAACCTGCTCCTCCCTTCCCTCCCACAAATATTTGCAAACTTCTAATTCTGGGTAGGACTGAAAAACTTAAGTGCTACAAAAGTACATAAAACCCCATGTTTACATTGATGTTTTAGCCTAATTTCATAGATACGATACAAATCAGGATAATTACTATAGTATTGTGTAATTCATTTAACTCAATTCTTACAAGCTATCTCAACTTTTTAATTGTAAAATTTGAGGGCAGAGTGCCAAGTACTGGATGCAGCAATCTGTCACTGCACATGACCAGTTTATAACTATATTGCCAGGAACTGTTGAAGTTTGCTAGAGGTAATTTTAACCATTGGACATACTAAGATTAGCTTTGGAAAATGAATTAAAACATGGAAGACTGAATTCAAGCGCAATATGACTGACCTGGGTGAGGTTTTGGATGCCTTCTCTGAATGCAAGGAGAACATTTAAACCATACTACAACACAGGCCTCAGCTGGACAGTACGCTTAGACCACCTACACCATGGCTCTTCACATGGTCAAAGAGAATGTACTAGTTTTAAGCATAATGGGGGAAAAAAAAACAACCCACACAACATGCTAACAACAGCACTGAGACCACACAAGCCACAAAACAGTGGCTTAAATGAATCCACGCATGGTAATGCTCTCTGGTACGGGCACTCTCCATTATGCACCACTGGCTGATATTGATGCGTAGTTTTTGGATACGTAACAGGAATACAATAGAGTTCCTTGCTTTTTACCAAAAGGATAACTCAAGATAGAAATTGTGATATCAAAGGGGTGAAAGAGCAGCAAAACCTGAGGAGCCTGCTCCAGCCCCAGCTGACGTCTGTGGGAACCTACTCTCCTTAGGGAGAATCTATCAGGCTCTATGTGCACTTGATAACTAGCACTTATTTATAATTGCCTTTATCAAATATCAGAGTAGAAGCTATTTTGTTGGCAGTAACAGAAGCCACATCCAAAATATTGTATCATTTAAGATATTGATTAGTCATCTGGAAATTCCTCTAACAATATAGTATGTATGCTTATTTCTTTGTAATTATAAGCCTTTGGAAAAATTTAATTTCTATTTTTTTAAAAAAGGAAATCAGTAAGATCATAACTAGTTTGTAATCTTGAACTGTGCAGAGATGATGTGAAAGTGAAACAATTTACACTAACCTTTCACTCCAGCCAAGAGCACATTCAAACTAAGTGTACTTCCACTTCAAACATTTAACTGATCACTCATGAGCAGACCATGCTACTTTTATGCAACTGCTTAACTGAACAAAACCTAAATTTGAAAAAAAGGATGAGAAGTATGCAAGAAATTATAAAAGTATCACAAAGATGATCATTAACTACTATATAGTAAAAGTAAACTGCAAGTGAACTCTTTTCTATCCCTACATATCCAAAGTGTTTCAAAGACTGATATGCTGAAACATTCATAGCAAGTGAACTTTCCCCCCAAATTTGTGATTAAAACTGGCACACCAGGGTACACTGGCCAGCCTGTCAGACGTAACAAAGGGGTTTGTCCATATGTTTTATGATAATACAACTTTGTAATGTTCCCCTCACTGAAACCTTGCTTTCAGCCCAGCAGTACCACTTGCACTAGAGGCTAGTAACGATATAAAGCCAGCGGCGTTAACTTCATCGAAGATGTTTTACATTCTTTGCTAAGAACCAGAATATCCATCTTGTTTGTGTACTTTTTCCTCTTACCATCTTTGTGCTGCACACCAAGAAGAACTTAAGTACCTTCAACTGCTAACAACTGCCTTTGTGCAAAATGCTTTTAAGGTGCTTATAATGTGGTGCTTCTAAGCAAGCTAAAACGAAATACCAATATAAACACTGTTAAATGATTCATGAATAAAGCCATTTAAGACCAGCTGCTGCCTTACGGGAAAGCTGAAGACAATTCAAGTTTGACATTTTAGTTGTGTTCCACGCCTTGCATTACCCTCTGTCCCCAACACAGTCCTTACTAGTCTGTCACAACCCACATTACACCTTGACCTTAGCTAAGGTGGCTTTATTTCCACCACTTTGGGTTTTTCTTCTTCTTAGAGTGAATTCAAATTCTTCTGGAAGTCGTGTAAATTTACAAAAAAATGATACCAATAGACTGTAGATAAGAGGTTTACAGGCATTCTTACTGGCAAAAATCTTCAGTAATGAAAAGAAGGATGAACCAGCTGCATAAGGGGCAGATTTTGTACCAAACCATAAACTTTCCAGGAAGCAGTTGTGTTCCTTGATAAGCATTCAAGCATTTCAAACGGGCACCTCAAAACTAGGCACAAATGGCCCCTAAAGCTTCCAACATCTATCAAACACTCAGGAAATTTAGTATGGGGTATGTTCTGCATGATACAAATAGCACACCTATGTTTGCTATATTCAGTAAGTCTCAAATCTACATATATTCATATCTAACTATTTGGCCAGATAATTTCCATCTTCCCCCACCACAACAAAAGAAAGCAGCTTATCTAATAGTACTTCCAATGCCACCAAGTACTTCACAGGTATAAGCAAAAACCAGCCAGCACCCTCTGCCTTTTAAGATCTGCGTTACTACTGCCACTCTTGGCAGGTGGGCCAGAATTCTCCTGAAAGCTTTTCTTCCTGTCTCAAAATGCCAAGTTCTGCCCTCACTGGTGTCTTGTAATTGGCTACCAAATGTACCTGGAACAGGAAATTCAATGATGGCAAATCAGTCTGAACAACATTTGATTTTTGGTCACTTGGATTCTCTAACCGTTCACAGTCTGACTGTTGGTCACTAATATACTTAATATATAAAATGGATATCATCCTACTATGACAGTGCAATTGCACAGTAGTGTCTACAACTTTTCAAAATACTTTTAAGCTCATCATCTCTGAATGCATTAGTTCCCAGTCTCCTAGTGGTTAGCACTGGTTTTGAGTCAGAAAACCCCAAGATAATTCTGGCCCCGAAATTAACTTCCTCTCCATCACAGCAGTTAGAAACAGCTGAAGTCCTAACACCAAGACAGAGAGGGCAAGTGGATATTGTCAGTAACTTGTCCATAACTGAAGTTTCTTGGTCAGAATTCCCTTATCTGGGCACACTGCAAGGCTTACTTATTTTCCCAAGCTACCCCTACAGTTAGGCAAATAGAGTTTTGCATTTATGTTCTGTAATATTTGTACATGCGGCAAGAGATTCAGATAGAAGCAACGTTCTATAAAAATCAAATAAATAAAATACAAAATCCATATGCCAAGTTTGCTATAATAAAGTGTCAGTTTGTCTTATATGCCAAACAAACTTAATATTGGGTATATTCAGTGGAAACGACTGCCGAGGAAACAGTAACATAGTCATTGTACAAATGGATAGACAATATAAATAACAAAAATTATTGGATTGCATGATGGTGTCTTAAAGTGGTACCAATGTTATTTAGATCCTTAATTTTGACTGTTTATACACATACTTACTTTCTCCAGCTCAGTGCAGGACACAATACCGTTTGTGGTAACAACTAGAAGTGTTCATTTTCCTGTAAGAGGCCATTTGTTAATCAGCATTTCTTTTGGGTCACAAGTGATCAAATTAAGTTTATGGGTAAAGTGCAGAATCTTACACAACCCTTTTGTTTGTATTTTCACATAAACTTATCAGTTACTGGCACCATGCAAACACAGACCTTCCAAATTAACACTAATGCATTTAACACTGGCATGATACATTAGTCAGCTTTTCATAACAGTAATGAGCAAGTTAAATGAATTAAGTTGAATGAATTAAGTGCCCAATTACAAAATTAAGAATTTGTCCTTCACAACAGGGTCTAAAGGTGTGAAGAAAAGAAAACTTACACTGACACTTTATGTACAACTTGGTCATTGGCAACGGTCCCCTAAACCATTTTTTAAATGAACCCAGCAAAACTATACAGAACGTGAAATAATATTTGCAACAGATCTCTTAAAGGACAGTGTAGAGAAATTCATTATGGTGCACCTGATGTTTAAATTAACTTAACAGATACGGCCTGTAAAACAACACAGTATGAACCTGTGGATTTTTTTTTTCTTTTTAAAAAAAGGACTTTTACAGAATTCAAGTAGTGTAGCAGGAAACCATAGATGCCTTTTGATCACAGGTCAGGCAAAATAGAGCCACTTATTGGATTTTCCCCTTGCTTCTGTTTGCTAAGGTGTCCCAGTGGATCTATAAGTCTGTTGATGTTAGCTTTTTCATGCTCCGTCGCTGAGCTAAACTTGAGGCTGCAACAGGCTCTAACACTGGCTGAAATGTCTTGTGATTCAGTGCAGAATATGTAGCAGCCATGGCTCCCTAGAGAAAAATGAAACATATAAAAGGCTGTAAAGGTCATTTTTATCAGAAAGTAGAGCAATTGAATATTAAGTTCTTAATTAACTATAAAAAAACCCCAGGATTTATGGCAGGTCATGCACATTCTCTGAAGTTTGTTTTGAAAACAACATCTATTGCTGAATCCTCCAGGTTTCTAAGCACGGGTGTCTGACATTTCTTTTTCTTTCACATACCTTAGATGCAGGAGGAGTAACCTTTTAATGTGGGTTAGAATCAGTATCTTCCAAGCAACATTAGCATCAGTTTATCAAATACAGCCACTTAAGTGGCTATTCAGGTCCTGACTTATGAAGACAACACAATTAAAACTGGCTATCACAGGTCCTTGGTTTTTGAATCCAACAAAACTAACAAAGTCAACTTAAAAGCTGTCTGCATACAGTGGAATGTTTTTGTGTCACAAGTCAGAAACAGAGATACAGAACAAACAGATGAAATACCAATGGAAGAAGTGTAGCATAGTTTATTAATTTATGTTAGGAAGCACAATATGAGCCAGTCACAGAAACAAATCCCAAAAGAATTCTTGAATAAGAATGCTAGGAGACCTGTGGAAGGCTCAGTCTCAGAAAACTGTCTTATCAGGTTTCTATACGGCCAAAGCTACCTTAATCTTTAAAAGCAAAACACCCAGAAAAATCTCTTCCTTTACACATAGGTTAAAAAAATTAGTTTACCAATATTTGTCTGCTTATGTAACTTACATATGTACATTCTAGAAAAAACAGAAGAGAGCCGATTTCTTTTCTAAAGAAAAAAATTAGTTCTGCCTGTAGCTCTAAAAGTGACCCAATTCACTGCACATCCACCAGCTCAAGCAACATTCAGGCTCTGGGTTGTTTTACCTTTACTAGATGTGGTGCATCTTGCCTGTTTAGTTGATAATGCGGCAACTGGTCCCTACAGGCTATCCACGAATGTTTTAATACTTGCTCTGCTGTATACCGCTGATGTGGATCTACATGAAGCATATGTGATAACAAGTCCTAGATAAAAATGAAACCCACACACATTATTCAGTTAAGAATCTTATATAGACTTTAAAGCATTAATTATGGAAGCAATGAAAAAAGTACCCTATGTGGCAGGGATTAACACAATTGAAACACACACAAAAATCAGCAGATAAATTGGATCATTCTGTGCCCTGACACCACGGGAGTCTGAAAACAATGTGTTGTACTATTTAATCAGTTTAACAGAGCAAGCCTTTATTGTAAAGAAACTTACTGCTGTTTGTGTGGTTTCATATTTCAGTTTGTTTATTATTTATATAATCTTTAAAAGACTAGAAATCCTATTAAAATATATCAGACAGATTTTATGGAAGAAAGCTATTATTTGTGAATATCTCTCACTCATACTTTACATTTGGGGTCTGCTGAGTACCTATTACAATTGAATTCAGGTATAGTGATATACCATCAAAGAATTTTTCCTTCAAGAAGCTATATAAAGAGTAAAGCCAACATAAATGGACATTTGGTTTTGCCTGTTTAGAAGCATTAGCAATAAGCTACTAATTACAACGTTGGTCAAAAGAAGAGCTCGGTGGGAAGGGCGCAGAACAGAGACAGGAATAGCTTGAAAGAAAACAAAATATGAACAAGCTGACAGAATGTTCCCTTTGTTTTAGGTACAAAATGTTAAGCGTTCTTAAATATACAGAAGTGAATTACTTGTGCTAAGACAGCATCAGCCAACAAGTTTTCTGAATCACTCCTACTGAAATGAACAAATAGTGCAGTTCCAAACGATCAGGAAAAGATTTAATATTAATGCCAAGCTTTATAAAAGGTAACAGTGGTGACTAAGATACCTACAGACCAGGCCAACACCAAACCCAGAAAACACATACAGTAACCAATGAGAGATGCAACAGCTGCATAATCAAGCTGATCAAAATTTTTGGCAAAGTATTCAGATATGTTTGGTGGTTCAAGTACTAGTTTAATTGCTGAAAGTACTAACAAAGACAAAAGACCTGATAATTTCAGCGCTGAACATTTAAGAAATTGCACTACAAAAAGAATTAACCTATTTATGCAAGACTAGTTAGCTACTAGCAGTAGCAGATAATTGTAAAAAGTCATCTTTCCATTTAAGGAATCACATAAAACATGTAGTTTTGGTCCAATAAAAACAAGGAATAAGGAAAATACTGATGATTAGAAAAGCCTACACGGGGACCTACCTTATTTAAAATCTTTATCAGTGACCTGAGGGAAGCAAAGAGAGCGCACTCTTGCTAAGGCTGCACTGGGGCACCAAACTAGAGGCATGGGGAAAGAGCTAAGCAGTTCAAGGGGAGGGCAGCCATCCAAAGGGACCTAAGCAGGATGGAGCAAAGGGCTAACCAGAGCCATACAAAATTCAGCAAGAACAAATGCAAAGTCCTGCACTTGGAAAGGAAGAAATTGTCACCAAGGTACAGGGTGGGGACTGACTGGCTGGGGATCAGCTTTGCTAAGACGGACCGGGAGGTATTCACAGACGGCAAACTGAACCTGAACTACCAGTGTGACCTGGCATCCGAGCAGACTGACATTCCTTCAGTCAGCATGGTCAAAGGAATTGAGACAGAGGACAAAGTAACACAAGAGATGATCTTGCTTGAAATTAAGAGAAGCTTTTCCCTCATTAGTGCAGTCAAGCAGTGGAAAAAGCTGCCTGGGCAAGCTGCTCAGTGTCCACCCTTGGGGGTTTCTAAGTCAGACTGAATAAAGCCCTGAGCTACCTGGTCACACCTTATAGCTGACCCTGCTTTGAGCAGGAGGTGGGGCCTTCATTGCAATAAAGTTTGAGGGTAATAATAGCTAACTACTGCATTAGACTAGTCTACTTTATAAAGTTCAGTAAATGTTCATTTCAATTCTACAAAAATATAATAACAAAACACATTTACACCTTTGCTGCATCTGAAACAGTGTCCCAGTTGCCTCCACTTAAAGAGAATTTCCCACTGCCTATCCGTACCAGGATCTCCTCTGGAGTATCATTAGGACCATTGGCAAATGGAGTATAGCTGTTGAAAGAAAAAACAAAACCACACCTTGTTATAGGTAAGAAGCTGCAAGAAATTGGTAAAAATCTTGTGAATCTTTGAGTAGATATCCCACCACTGACAGAAACACAATATATACTCTTACGTACTACTTATATTAGCATTTCATGTTCGAAACTATTCTTTTCCCCATGATTGTGGTTAATCTATTAACTAGAATAAACAGGAAATGCAGACTAAAAAGATGTCTGAATTTAATATCTCAATAATGCATTCTAATCAGTGCAGCTTTTCAAGTTAAATAAAGTGATTCATAAATACAAATTATGCCAGATTACCAGAGCACATAAAGTAATCCAAACCTGAACAGTACTCTAGCAGAATGGCCCAATAAAGCTGGAGTAACATCATGTTTAGGGTATGTGCATCTAATTAGACAGAGAATGAGCACAATATCCACATATCTATAATTTGGGGAATAGCTACAAGAAAATTTTCATGATAGTTCTTTACTCATTAAACCACAAAATCATTGGGTTTAGAGGCTTGTAACAGTTTACAAGGTTTCCTGTAAACTTGGCTTACTTTCTACAAATCCTACTGTGATGAACTCGAAAGACCTAAATTTGCAAATTTGAAAAAAAAAAAAAAAAATCAATCTGAATCATTTAAGCGCACCTTTTAGCAATGTCAAGAGTATTACAGTGTTCTGATATGGTCATTGGCTAGTATGAAGTTAGTTTTAACTACAAAACCCAAATCTTAACTCAGATTAAGTAGTTACACCATAATACCACTTAGATTTCAAATTAGCTTGCAAACAATAATAATTTAGTTTCACGCATCCTACCTTAGTACTCTGAAAGCTCTGCATAGAAGAAAGATCAACCAGCATCATCAACAGAGGTTTTAGAACCTATTTAGTTCTATCTTTCAGTTGATGAGTTTGAGAGGAACAAAATGGAAAGATAGGAATTCATGCCGGACCATTCCTCCCCCATACTTTTGACCTGCCATATCTTTTGTTCAGACAAGTTTCTTAAGTGTGCAGGCAGTATACTGCCCAATATCTGCAAACTTGCACTTAAATCATACAGCAATCTGAGTGTTGGTGACAGAACGTAGTAGTGGTGGTGATTTTACATGTAGAGGTACAAATTTATCAAGAAGAACAGTTTCCAATAGATAGTATTTATCTATAAGACAAAAAAAATCTGGTATTTTTCTGTTAGGATAGAATTCAGAAAACATTTTGTCATTTGGCCATTAAGTGTTTCACAGTGCTTAATGAAATTTCAGAGGTTTAGAAAACTTAAGAGGTTACACAAAGCCAGTGTGTTCTACAAAAGGGCCAGGAGTCAAGCCTGTGGCAGGAGATACGAGAGGGTGGACTACAAAGGTACTAGGATGGGGAGGACAAGAGGCAGAAGGAGAAGGAAGAAAACCACCACATACTTTCACAGACTAAATTCACTCCTGGAAACTGGGAAGAGTCTTTGGCATCCCCCAGTCATGCACTATAGAAGAGAGAAGCCTTGAACCTACCCATAAGATAAGCCTAGTTTACGCACCCATTTACTTATAGCTTCCTGTTCCACTTCACTG